AAAATTTTATTTAAGTAATTTTTATTTTTAAATATATTATTTATGAGATTTATTCAATGTGCCATGTTATTTTCTCTATCTTCACTCATTTTTTTATTTTCCTTTTTTTCTCATTTACTCCTTTTTCTTTGTTTCTTTCTTTGTTCACTCCTTTTTTTTCTACATTTCCTCTTACAATTTTTTCTTCTTCTTTCTCTTCACTCACTTATTTTTCTAATTAAAATATTATATTTATATTTAATAAAAATACGTTAAAGTAAAATTTTTAAAATTAACATTAAAACTAAAAGAGATATATATTAATTATTTAAAATTATGATGACAGCAATTAATTTATTTATGATAATAGTAAATAATTAATTTAAATTATTTTATCATAATAAATCAATTAGTTATTTAATTAAAAAATATCAAATATTTATTAGTTGAATTTATTTTATTATTTAATAATTTAATCTAGTTATATTATATTAGGTTACTATGATTAGTTGGATTAAATAATTTTTAAAAAATTATTTAATAAAAAGTATTTTATAATAAATATTTTATTACTTTGAGGGTTGATTTTTAAAATCATTATTTTAACATATTTTTATTAAATTTTAATATAATATTTTTAATTAGAAGAATAAGAGGAAGAACAAGAGACAATATAAAGAGAAAGAGAAAAAATAATGACTAAATGATAAGAGATAATAAAGAAAAACCAGGAATAAATAAGAAAATAAAAAATAACTACAGACAATTTTATTCTTTATAAATAAGTATAGTTAAGTAAATAAATTTATAAATATTTTATTTGAGTGATTTTTCTTTTAAAATGTATTATTTTTAACATTAATTTACAAATTTAATATTCATTTAAATTTTTTTAAAGTTATTAATATTATGAATATGCTGATTAAACTTAAAACTTTCCTTCCTTATTTATAGGCTCATACATAACTTCTTTTATATCTTCAAATCCATTAACATTATTATCCTAATTCTAAATATATAACTAAAAAACTATGATAAAATTATTTTTTATTATTATAAAGATAAAATTTAAGTATATTTTACACATTTAAAAATATATTTTGTGGTATTTGATTTTGATCAAAATATAAAAATTAAAAATCATGTCGGCTTTTTATCCTTATATGTCTATACGAGGCAAATTTATCAATATGCTGTAATTTGTTTTATTTATTTTTAAAATGGGTAAATTTTTTTAAAAAAATTGCAGTTGTACTTTGAGATACGAATTTACAACAAAGAAGTCTGTGTATGGAAAATGCATGACTTCTTCATATGATTTTTTTTTTAAATCATGTTTCAATGAACAATTTTAGTTCATTTTTTTTAAATTGATGATTTACAACTTTAGTTTAATTTTTTTTATACTGAAGTCGTTAACTAATTAACAAATTTAGTTTAACTCTTTTTTTTATGTTGAAGTCGTCAATTAGTTGACAAGTTTAGTTCAATTTTTTTATACTTAAGTTGTCTTTAGTTTATATATTTTTAAGTTACATTTTTATTTTAATTATTAAAAGTTTTATTTAATATTTATAAAATTAATAAATAAATTAATTAATTATCATTTAGACATCAATAATATTAAATAATTATTAGATATATTAAATTGTTAAAAAAGAAAATATTAATATGTTAATAATAAAAATATGAATATACTATATAAGAAAATTGTACATTTTGTCGCTTTCGATCTGACATGATTTTGTCTTTAAAAGGTGTCTTAGTAGATTAAGGGTAGGGGTGTCAATATGGGTTCTAACCCGTGAGCCAACCCGACTCACCACTGGTTCGAGCCGGTTGGGTTCAGTTTTTTTATTTCTACCAATTATGGGCAAAAAATGAATCCGACTCACTTAACCCACGGGTTCGAATCGGGTTATGATGGGTTGACCCGCAAACCACCATTAATTTTAAATTTTAAAAATAATTATAATAATACAATAACCCTAATTAATCATTTATTTTAAATTTTAAAAATAATTATAATACTTTAGTAACCCTAATTGATATTATTTTGTCTCACCTCCACCCTACATTGTCACTGCGCCACAAGTCAAACCCTCACTCAAGCTTGTTATCAGTATTTTGTTGCACTACTACGTTTGTTGCTGCACTTGGGTCATTTGTCTTATCATCTGCCCACTGCACCACCGTGTCCACTGTACCGCTTTCAAAGGTAAGAATTTATAGCATAACCTAAACGATTAGATTGATGAATCTTTATTTCAAAACTGTAGCATCTATCCATTATTTATTGTTTGTTATTGATTTATACGTATATCTCTTTAATATATGAATTTTTTACTTCTTTCTTTCAAATTAATTTACAGTATGGAATCTGAAACAATACATCAAAGTGTTAATGTGAATTATGTTGGTGATGATTTTATTATTAATGAAAAATTTAATGAGTCAATTTCAGTTAATAACGAAAATACTGATGTTGAGAAAGAAAAGAAGAAAGCAAAAGTTTCTATATCATTTAAAAAATTATAAAATATGGGTTAGTGAGTCAACCCACCTAACCCACCAACCCATGGTAGGTTGAGCCGGGTTGTAAAATTTCTTGCTCACCAAAAAGTGAGTTGGGTTGAGCTCACTTATTTTCATCTCAACTCGTGGTGAGCCAACTCGTGTGAGCCGGGTTGGCTCACTTTGACACCCCTAATTAAGAGAGGAGGTTGTATTTAAACTATCATTGATCTCGACTCCTAAATGATGTTGGATTTCATGAGCATACCGAAACATAAGCCCCCTATAAGGCCGATAGTAGAGTCTCGCTCTACTCATACATACCCCTTAGTCCTTGATTGGGGCTTATGTTCGAGTACGTTCGTGAGTTTCGCATCGCTTAGGAGTCGAGACCAAGGGTAGTTTAAATACATCCTCCTCCCTTAACCCATCGAGACGTCTTTTAAGGACAAAATTGTGACGAACGAGAGCTCCAAAATAGACAATACCTCAAATGTGGGAATTGACCCTAACAATATGCGAGATATGAGACCGAGACACTCTTTTTCTTAAAATGGAACAAGTAAGATAAATAATAATATTTTTAATTTTATTTATTAATTTAACGTGAGAGAAAATATTGAATAAACTATTAATCGAACAAAATAGAATATATAAGATTAAGATAAATAATATATATACTTAAAAAATAGTTATTAAATGAATCCCTTTATATATTATTATAGATTTAAAAAAAGTGTAGTAATATTATAATTAATAAAATCGTTAATAAAATGTAAAAATCACTTTTATGTTTTATTTTTTATAATAAATATATCTTTCAGCTAAACTATATCGTGAGTCACCTATAATAATTAGATATAGTATTAAAAAATATTTTTTTTCACAAAAATTACCATTTTAGATAAATTTTAAATCCTATTATATTTATTTGACTCATCTCTTTATCTTGATTGTATATATTAATGGTGAGGACTCACTTTAAGTTAATTAAAAGTGGAGGTGATCGAGTGAGGTTAAAGTTTGAACTTTTACTAATATAGAATTATAAATAGAAATCATAATCATTCAAACTTTATTATTTCAAAATCATAGTCTCTTTATAAATTTTTTTTTTTACTTCTCTTTAGTTTTCTCATTCTTCCTCAAATCTTTAATCCAATCATATTATAGTGCTCCTAAAGTCGAGTGGGGCAATTTTAACTTATCAAAATTTCTTATTGAGTAACTTTCTTTTTGTTCAAATTTAAAGTATTTACAAGTGGATCTTATCGAACAAAGATGAATTTTGATTAGTATAGAAACATATGATATGTTCAATTTGTCAATTAGACTTTTTCGTGAGCAAGATTTGACTTCTTTTACATTTGAGAGTTTTTGGGATTTTCCCTTGACAGAAGAAATTGAAAGGTAAATGGAAGCTAGTAGTAAATTCGTTAACACCCTAGGATAAATTATTTAAATTATAATGGTAACTTGATCACATTTGATTTGCAGAAATTTGTTTATGTGATTGATTGTTGATATTGTATCTTACATTGTGAGTGATTGAATAAGCTTATTTAAAGTAATGACGTGAAATGATGTGTGTGAAATGTTAGGATAAAATAGTTATATTTGGACTATGACAAGTTTTAGGAGGAAATTATGTAATAGAGTCTCAAAGGATAATGTTCAATGCTTGGAAACTAGTTTGACACGAATTACAAAGGTTTGATATTTGCATATTTCGTTTAAGTGAAATCATAACAAAGGTAAGAGTTCCTCTCAAGTGTATTTCCTCTAAAGTGAAGCAAATTTCACTCAAGCGAAAATGGATTCCAAAGGTGAAAAACTTGTCTCAACCTCATTTTCACTTAAGAGAAAAAAATCCTAGTGAAATGAGGCTTGTTTCTACTATATTTTTGTCCAAACGAATGAATTTTCACTCAATCAAAATGATGTCTTGCTTAAGTAAGAAATTTTCGCTCAAGTGAAAATTTTTCAGATAAATATAAGGTGATGTAAAATAAAGTAAGGTACAAAGTTTTAAGCAATAAAGTAAGCAAATTCAAGAAAAATTCTCACTGGACATTAAGATAGTTGTCTATATAAATGTGAAAGCTCATTTCAAAGGATTATGGATGAAGGAGGAGATGGAATAAAACTAGAAAAGATTAAAAACAAGGGCTAGAAAAAATAGACCAGCCCCTTGGATAAATAAATGGAGTGAAAAAATAAAGAAGAAAAGATGAAGAGAAGAGAAATATGGTGGTAGTGAAGTGTTAACACGCCAGTAGGGGATGTGTCACCCTAGATAAGTGGTGGTTGCTGCCATTTGAACTAAGGTTCAAGATAAGATACTCAAAAAGACGAAACACTCTAAGAAACCTCACAAACTTGTCATTAAATTTTCAACCTAATTACATGAGGGGAAGTCTTCTATTTATAGACTTTTAGCCCCTGTTTGGTTGAGGGGAAAGACTATTTACATGGATAGAAAAGGAGGGGAATTCGTGTTTGGATGAATGCATTTGTGTGGAAGGAAAAAAAGAGAAAAGCGGGACTCCCTTCAAACTCCTCCCTCTGTGGGAAGAAAGAAGTGGAAAGCTACATCGAAAAAGGAAAGAGACGAAGTTGTCCTCCCTCATTCTGTCATGCATCTCGTGGTGCATGGAACTGTTAGTGATTCCCTTGTGTTGTTCTTGCACATTCTTCTACTCCAAGGTCAAGGATGCATCCAAAGGAGAGGTCAGTCATGCAGAGGTCATGGGCTGCACAGCCAACTTCACACATTCACAATGCATTTTGTGCAGGGGAGCAAGGTCAAATATAGAACCAATTGAGAGTAGAATTGTTCGTGAGTTCTTGCGTTTCTCTTCTCAGTTCCTCAGTTGCTTGTCTTCCTCACTTGTTGCGTTCTTCAGCCCGTAATTATGTTCTCAGTTAGCCCCTGTTGTGAGTTGTGTTCTCAGTTAGCCCCTGTTCTCAGTTGCTTACTAAGTTGTTAGTTGCCTTCGTGAGCCCGTGTTTAGGATCCTCGTCTTCTTCAACTTCTTTCTCTGTTGGAGCTCCTTGGAACCATAGGTAAGCTTCTCCTTTCCTTTCAACCATGGCAGCCGGAAACAACCACCAGAGGAGAGTGTGCCGCCAGAACGAGGAGACAGAAGTCATCATAGGAAGAAGACGCACCATAATCGATTATGGTTGGCGCCATAATCGATTATGGTGTTAGACAAATGACATCTAGAGGGGGTGAATAGATGCACAAATTGAAATAGATGTCAAATTAAAAATTTATTATTTAAGATGTCAAATAAATTGTTAATTCAATTTTAGTTATCAGATAAAATACAGATATAGCAGAAACGATATAATCAGAGAGATAAAGGAAAAGATTCAAGCGTGCAGATGTAGGAAGCGATAAAATAAACAAAAGCCAAGAGTCATAAAGTGAAGAGAAGAGCACATAGTAATTTATACTGGTTCGAGTATAGCCAATCTTACATCCAATTCTCAGTCACCTCTAACACAAGAGTGATGTGAACATGACCTATGATAAGGGCTAGAGCAAGGGAAACAAAGGAAGCTCTTCAACAAGTATTGTTGGTTGACCAAATTGTGTTTTGGATTAATCAATTAATGGGCTTTAGTTTGATTTTATTTTAAGTTGTAATAAGGGCCCAATTGAAAATTTAGTCATCAGCTTTTGGGAGACCAAGGGATGCATAACTGATTGACTTTTGGTTGCCACAGTTTCAGATACAATCAGTCATTAAGTAGTTTTCAATTCCTAGGTTAATGGATCATTATTAGCCTTTATTTGTTTCCATTAAATAGTTTTCAATTCCTAGATTAATGGGTTATTATTAGTATTTATTTTCTTTTATTGAGCCTTTTGTAATTCTGATGGCAATGCTTCTATATTAGCTGAACCATTCTTATCAAGAAAGAACAAGTGAAATTTTATTCAGAAATATTAGAGTTTATCTCTTTTATCTTAGTGAGAGTGATTCTCCTAAATTCTTGAGTGATTCAAGAACCCTTGGCTATATCAAAGGACTGTCACATCCTTTGTGTGTTACCTCCCTTGGGAAGAGTGATTCTTTCCTTCCACCTTCTTTCTAATTCCTAAATTTCTTACAAGTTTCTAACCCTAAAGATCCTAAATCAACCCTTGTGATTCATACCATTTGGTATTCAGAGCTCCGGTTTAAGGGTTCAAACATCAAATTGATGGCAGAAGAGGAAAATTACAATCAAGAAGCAGGAATTAGTCCAATTCAAATGAGAGTATTGGTACAACATTTGGAAGGATTAATGATACGACATAACAATGAGCTCCATGAAAGATTGAACCGGTTGGAGAATAGAAATCCTGAAGACGAAGAAGAAAGGAGAAATAGGAGAATGAATGATGGAGTAACAAGACCAAGTAGGCTTGAAGGAGTCAAGCTTAACATTCCTCCATTCAAAGGAAAAAGTGATCCAGAAGCATACTTGGAGTGGGAGATGAAAATAGAGCATGTTTTCTCATGCAACAATTATGAGGAGACCCAAAAGGTGAGGCTTGCAACAACAGAATTTTCTGACTATGCTCTTGTTTGGTGGAACAAGCTACAAAAGGAGAGAGATAGAAATGAAGAGCCAATGGTTAATACATGGACTGAGATGAAAAGGATCATGAGGAAGCGGTATGTGCCGGTTAGTTATGCAAGGGACTTGAAATTTAAACTCCAAAAACATACTCAAGGCAACAAAGGGGTTGAGGAGTATTTCAAAGAAATGGACATGCTCATGATTCAAGCAAAGATTGAAGAAGATGAAGAGGTAACTATGGCCCGATTTATTGGTGGTTTGAATATTGATATATGTGATATTGTTGAGTTGCAGGAGTTTATTGATATGGAGGATTTACTTCATAAAGCAATTCGAGTGGAACAACAACTCAAAAGAAAAGAAGTGACTAAGAAGAGTTCTACCAACTTTGGATTTTCAAGTTGGAAGGACAAAGGCAAGAAAGATGGGATTGTTACTTCTAGTAGTTCCACACCTATTCCTACAAAGAATCATTCAAAATATGAAGAACAACCCTCTAAAAAAAGTAGAGATGTGAAGTGTTTCAAGTGTCAAGGCCTAGGACACTATGCTTATGAGTGCCCTAACACAAAAACCATGATTCTTAGAGAGAGAGAATATATAAGTGAATCTGATGTTGAAGAGGGAGAAAAGAGTGAAGACACTGAGGAGGAGGAGGAGATTCCAAAGGGAGATTTATTGATGATTAGGCGATTACTTGATAGTCAATTGAAACCTATGGAAGAAAACCAAAGAAAAATTATTTTTCACACTAGATGTTTAATCAATGACAAGGTGTGCATGATGATCATAGATGGAGGTAGTTGCACTAATGTGGCTAGTGCTAGATTAGTATCAAAACTAAATTTAGCTACCAAACCACATCCTAGGCCATATAAACTTCAATGGCTTAGTAAGGATGGAGAGGTGCAAGTGAGACAACAAGTTGAAGTGGACATTTCCATTGGAAAATACAATGATAAGGTGTTTTGTGATATTATTCCTATGGAAGTCAGTCATTTACTTTTGGGGAGACCATGGCAATTTGATAAAAGGGTTAATCATAACGGGTTCACCAACAAGATTTATTTCATACATCAAGACAAGAAGATTGTGCTCAAACCTTTGAGTCCACAAGAAGTATGTGAGGATAAAAAAAAAATGAAAGAAAAACTTCTTCAAGAAAAGAGAGAGAAAGAAAGCGTTAGTGAAACACTTGAGAGGAAAAAGAGTGATCAAAAGAAGAGTGAAACACTTGAAGTGAAACAAAACTATTTAGCCATAAAAAGTTAGTATAATGTTTGTTCTACATTTAATTTGTCAGACTTATCTCTTTTTAATGTAGATGACGAATCCGATTTGAGGACAAATCCTTTTCAAGAGGGAGAGAATGATGTGAACATGACCTATGATAAGGGCTAGAGCAAGGGAAACAAAGGAAGCTCTTCAACAAGTATTGTTGGTTGACCAAATTGTGTTTTGGATTAATCAATTAATGGACTTTAGTTTGATTTTGTTTTAAGTTGTAATAAGGGCCCAATTGAAAATTTAGTCATCAGCCTTTGGGAGACCAAGGAATGCATAACTGATTGACTTTTGGTTGCCACAGTTTCAGATACAATCAGTCATTAAGTAGTTTTCAATTCCTAGGTTAATGGATCATTATTAGCCTTTATTTGTTTCCATTAAATAGTTTTCAATTCCTAGATTAATGGGTTATTATTAGTATTTATTTTCTTTTATTGAGCCTTTTGTAATTCTGATGGCAACGCTTCTATATTAGCTGAACCATTCTTATCAAGAAAGAACAAGTGAAATTTTATTCAGAAATATTAGAGTTTATCTCTTTTATCTTAGTGAGAGTGATTCTCCTAAATTCTTGAGTAATTCAAGAACCCTTGGTTATATCAAAGGACTGTCACATCCTTTGTGTGTTGCCTCCCTTGGGAAGAGTGATTCTTTCCTTCCACCTTCTTTCTAATTCCTAAATTTCTTACAAGGTTCTAACCCTAAAGATCCTAAATCAACCCTTGTGATTCATACCAAAGAGTGACCCCAATTCACTATCTTTCAAATATCTTTCAAATTCAGTTTACAAATTACAATCAACTCAGCATAAGAACCAGTAAAGAGTGAACTAATTAAAAAGACAATCACCTCCTTAGAATCCCACTAAGGATGAACACCTCCCTAGAATCCCACTAGGGATGAACACCTCCTCTAAACAAATCAAAGGATGAAAATCACCTCCTTTGCCACCAACACACAAAGGATGAACACCTCCCTAAAATCATACTAGGGATGAACACCTCTCTGAACAAATCAAAGGGATGAAAACACCTCCTTAGAATCCCACTAAGGATGAAAACCTCCCAAAAAAAATCAAAGGGATGAAAACACATCCTTAGAATCCCACTAAGGATGAACACCTCCCTAGAATCCCACTAGGGATGAACATCTCCTATGAACAAATCAAAGGATGAAAAACACCTCCTTTGCCACCAACACATAAAGGATGAACACCTCCCTAGAATTACACTAGGGATGAACAACAACCACCTAAACCCTAAAAAGGGGATTTAACATCAACCACTTAAAACCTAAATAGGGAATTTAACATCAACTTCCTAAGTCCTAGAAAGGATGAAGGAAATAAAATAAGAACATTCACACTTAGTTAATGGAGACAACAAATTGTAGAAGTCTGTAGAATGCCAACCTCCAAGAACAAGTGTGATTAACAATGAAAGTGCAGAAGACAGTAGAGAAGAGGGTTTTCTCAGAAGGTGTAAAATATTTTTGTTGTCTTGCTTAGAATTCTTTTCTTAAAACTGAATGAATGTAAAATTGTATTTTCAAATTCTGTAATTGTGTATATTTTATTTTTCATCAAAACTCATTTAAATATGAAAATAACATCAGAAAATAGTCATTGGTCATTAATACTTTCGTAGAGAAAAATCAGGATGTATTCAAAAATATTTAATCTTCAAAACAGATATAGTTTTCAAATTTGAACTACCATAATCGATTATGTTACTAATATAATCAATTATGACAAAGAATTTTTTTTTCCATTTTTGATGTATCATAATTGATTATGACAGTGAAAAATATCATATTACGAAATTTTATCACACTTGTGCTTTGGAGGTTTATGCATAATACCACTTCATCAACCTGTACCTCCATATCCAGTATTCTAAGACTTTATCTAGTCTTTAGGAATCATCTTGGGCTTGCTTTTGTCATCATCTTTTTCAGAATGTATATCTAGTCTTTAGGCTTCATCTTGGGCTTGTTAGAGTCTTGAATGTTGTTGACTTGAATCATCATCATCAAAATCATCTCTTGGGAATATAGGGACATGTTTCATATTGTCATCAATCTCTCCCTTATTACTTTCATATGGTGCGTCTTCTTCCTCCGGTGGCTTCTGTCTTGTCGTTCTAGAGCCAGACTCTCCTCAGGTGGGCGCCTCTCCGGCCACCATGGTGGGCCTCGTGGGTGCAGTTGGTCCAGTCGTGTGCATGCATGAGAGGAGGTCCATAATCCCCCTCCATAAGCAGTTATGCATGACGACAACCACCTCTGCATGACGCATGGTAGGAGCCAAAAAATAGCTCCACGACAACCTCTGCATGGCCACTCAGGTGGCGAGGGTGGGCTTTGTGGTTGCGCCCCTGTTTGGAGCCCCATAAACGTGGATCCATGGTTTGTCATACGCGAGGTTAATTTGTTTGTATTTGTGTTGCAGGCTGGATCTTTGTCGGTGACCATCAACTTCGGTGTGACCTTGTCCCACCAATACCTTGCTTGATATCTTGTCGGAGGAACACCCCAAGTATGGTTTTGTGTCTTTGTTGAATTATTGGCAAGCGTACCAAAATTATCAATCACAGTATAGTATTTCGATTAAATAAAAGTCGATCCCACGAGGAACAGTTTCAATGGAAATTCCCAATTATGCTTACTAAGTATATTAAATAGATTGGGTTTTGCAAATAAGAATTGAATTGAAATTAAATGACAAAGAACTGTAAATTGTTGAGAAAATATCAATTAAAGGCACTTAGGATTGGTTTCCTTCCTTATCCCTTTTTTGTAATGACTATGTCAATTAAGAACATCAATTAACCTAACAATGTTGATGCCACCTACTCAAATCATCAATGTTGATTCCTCACACATGAAATTCATAAGAAAACCTAATAAATGTTGATTCCTCACACAATTAACAGATTTTCCAGCATTAGGTTTAGGGTGTTAATCAATTGATACATTCATTCCATTCCTGGCAATTAACGTAACAAATATTCTTACCGTGATCTAGGGTTCAAGATATATTTTCCAATCATACCTTAAACAATCAAGAATAAATCATTCCAAAACATAAAGGATAAGAATAACAACATCAAAGCATAGATTAATATCTCAAAATATCACCATGATACAAAAGAGTTCAAAGGAAGTGCACTGAATCCTAAGAGAATGAAGTTAATCACTCATGTTGGCCATTACAATGCTCAAATTGATGAAGAAGTGAAGAATTGATGAAGATTGGACGAAACCCTAGCAATAGTCGTGCATCTTCTTATCCAAAAATTCTTGCTTTCTCAAAACACATCTTATCTTTTAATAAGAGAATTTGGGTCGGTCCTCGCATCATTCATTCGCTTAAGCGTTCTTCTTTCTTTCAATTTTTCTCTAATTATGCTGGCAATTATGCTCATTACTCTTGTATCAAGGTATTCTCGAATTCATCCTATATTGGGAGAAAAATATATTAGAATTAACATAAATTAAATGGTTTCATAACAATTTAAGACATAATTATATCAACTTTTTACCACTTAACAGTCTTCTCTGCCATGGTTGGAACCTCAAACCTGGTTGGTACGTATGTTTTTGGAGTCTGCATGCATGAATCATTCGTAAGAGTGTGTGTGGCCATTCAGATTTGAGGTATACAACAAGAGACGAGGCCAAACCTCATCGACTCCAACAGAAAATGGGCACCATACGACCATGGTTTCTGACTTGTGTGTTGGTTATGTTGTTGTTGTAGGTTGTATCTTAGGGGCACCATCAAGTTCGCCGTCAGCTTGTCCCACGAAGAGCTTTGTTCGTATCTTCTCCCACAAGTATGGTTCATATGTTGTCTTCCATGGTTGCAACCCGACACTCGGTTCTAATGGTGTTGTACTCCATGCATGGTTGAGGTAAAAATTGGTAGCTACTACATGCATGCATCTTGGAAGCAAAAACTGGAAATGATGGAAGAAAAAATTGGAACAAAAAACTAGAACCAAAAACCCTATTTTTGCAATTATAATTATTATATGGAAATTTTGAATTTTTTTTATATATACTGAAAAAAAAAATTGAAAGATCATACATGAAAAAAATTTAGTAAAAATTATGGCAGTACACTATTAATGCATAATTAAATAAAGAAAAAAGAGTTAAATATAGTTATATTTAAGAAATAAATTTATTGTTTTTATAACAAATGGAGTATGTAAAATTGAGAAAAGAAAAAATTTATAGAAATGAGAATTTGTTAAAAAAGAAGTAAAAATATTAGTGGAAAAAAAATTAGTAGTAGTTTTGTAAATAAATTTTGGTTTTGTGAAACAAAAATTTTTATCATTTATTTTATATTAATTAATTTTTATTTGATAACAGAATTCTTGATATATAAATTATTAGAAATATAAATAAAAAATATATAATTGAGAATTATGTAAAGATGAATTATGTAATTGTGTAATTGTGAATGCAAATTTCATAAAATATAAAATCAAGTAGGTTTAATTATATATCTTTTATTGATATCTTCAAAAGCTTTTATGTTATTTTTAATTACTTATTTTTATAGAATTTAAAATTCAAATATTTTAAAAAAATTTCCAATTACTTAAACAGATTGAATTATGTTTATTAAAATGTAATTTAATAAATAATTTTTTTATATATGTGACTTAAATTTATAATTTGTTTTAGGTCAATTGAAATAACTTTTAGCTTTATTATAAAATATATTATATATTTATATGAATAAATGAAAAATATGAATTAAGAATACTAATTTAATAAATTGAAGAGTAAAATAATTTTGAATTAATAACAAATTGATAATTATTAACCCCTAAGTTTATGAAGCATTATATTATTTTTGTCTTGTATACATTAATTGAAAATATTTAATTTTCTAAATATTAAAATTATATACTTTGAATTACTTCCATTAAACATTATATATATATATATATATATATATATATATATATAAATATATAAATTTTGCAGATGGCAAACAAGATCATCGACGTCATTAGTTTAGACAATGACGATATAGATAATGGTTTGGATATAAACATAATATCACATATACAAAGTGAGATAAAAAGCGAAGCGAAGTAGGAGCGATGACAATTATTTGTCTGATAGCCTATGGGTTAAATATGTTATCTACAGTAAATTGTAGTAGTCGTAACATTAGGAACTTTATTTCTAAAAAAGAACGTTGTCGGCACAAGTTAATGTCATACCTGATTCATACTGAACAATCTCGTGACATTATTCGTATGGGACCAGAGGCATTCATTAACTTGTGTCAACGAGTAAGGGCAATTGGATTAGTAAACAATGGGTTACAATCAACAGTGGAAGAACAAGTGGCTAAATTTCTCCATATTATCGGACATAATGTTAAAAATTGAACTGTTTCATTTTTTTTTCATCAATCGGGTGAAACTGTTAGTCAACATTTTCATAACGTGTTGAATGCGATAAAAATGTTAGAGGAACAATTAATTGTTCAACCAGCAAGAAGGGATGTGTGTCCGTATATATTAAACAACAGCCGATTTTACTCATACTTTAAGGTAATCTACTCACCAACTTTGTGTCTATATAACATACGCATATATTGTCTAAACTTTAATGACAATAAATTTGTTTTACCAATTAGGATTGTTTAAGGGCGATAGATGGAACTCATGTTCGAGTTAAAGTCGCAAGATCTGATGCTCCTCATTTTCGTGGAAGAAAAGATTGGCCAACACAAAACGTATTTGCAACTTGTGATTTCGACATGAAATTCACATATGTTCTAGCATGAAAAACATCATCTTATTCACATATGTTCTAGCAGGGTGGGAAGGAACAACATCTTATTCAAGAATATTAAAGAGTGTTCTTACAAGAGAGGATCGCCTTATCATACCACAAGGTTTATTATTTATAACGTGAGGATTTTGTGTATAGTCATCTAGTTCAAATATTCTAATCATTATAACTTCAATTATTTTAAATAGGTAAATACTACTTGGGGGATGTTGGATTTATGTTAAAAAAAAAACATAATGACCCCTATCAAGGCGTTAGATACCACCTTAAAGAGTATTCTCGACGAGCTCCACAAGACCCCCGAGAATTATTTAACCATCGACATTCATCTCTTAGAAATGTAATTGAAAGAACATTTGGAGTTTTGAAGAAAAGATTTCCAATAATAGATAGTGGAACAGAGCCTCATTATTCATTTGATACAATGACAAATATAGTCTGAGCATGTTGCATTCTACACAATTTTCTTCAAGGGGTACATAACGATGAATCACTGTTAGCTAAAGTGAATCGAGAGTTGATGGAACAAGATGTGGATAACATGTAGACTCAAGTTTGGGAAGAGGATTATGGGGAAGGGTCAAACTTAAGAGATGTTATAGCAAATCAAATGTGGATAGATTATCAAAGTCATTAGATTTTGTATGTAACAATATATTTAATGAGATGTACTATTGTTATTGTTGAAATATGGTTACATTACGATTATCCATTTATAATAATTATATGTTGGTATCGTAATTACATATATTATCTTTCCAATAGGTTTAAAATGAACAGAGGAAAGGATATTGCACCGGATTCGTCAACTATAGTGCGTGAGTTTACAAAATGAACTGATGACATGGACTTTCGGTTGTTGACTCTATGCTTGCTGAGGCAAGGTTGGGTAACCGAGTTTATGGTAGTTGGACAACCCAAGCATATAATAATATGGTTGAATCCCTAAGACAATCTGGATTAATTGGTATAACTAAAAATAATGTTAAAAATCGACAAAAAAGTCTTAAGGATAGATGGCGGGAGGTCCACGATTTGTTTCATGGACTTAGTGGATTCGCTTAGGATGATATCACAAAATGGTTTATGGCTGAGTAAGAAGTATGGGATGACCTGATCAAGTTACTGTTATATGAATTATCATTTGTTGATATAGCAAAACATAACAATTACGAGTTTAACCATTCTCATTAATTTGTAGGCGAAGCCTTCTGCAGCTAAATGGAGACTGCCAACCATAAAGTATTATGATTTGATGGAAGAATTGTGGGGTGTTGATCGAGCCACTAGGCATATGGCAAGAACTTTGCGTCAGCCCCGGAGGAATATCAGTTCTCGAAGGGCAACGGTCGACTTGAACGTTGATGTGGACCCTACACCAGAGGAGCAACCATTTGACTTTGGCTTTGATGTAGGATTTCATATAGCTTATCGATCGCCTCCATGCATGGGTTCCGACAGTCCTGCTGAGGGTGCTCAGTCAATGTCATCTGTTGCGTCTACTGGTTTAGGTGGAACCTCTTCATCTTGGGGCACAAAAAGAAAAGTGCCTATGGTTGATGTGATGGAAGGTCAATTTGACAAACTAATAACGAGGGTGGACACATGGCCAAGGTAATACATTGACCCAACGATTATCTAACATAGCTGAAAGACAGGTGGTCGCCATTGAATAAAAATGATTTAATTAATGAGCAAGTTAATGTGATGAGGCGATCATCAATATTTCAACATTCCGAGTCAGATATATGGGACATGTTAGTCAGCATGAACCTAAACGATGAACAACTTATGCTTCAGTTTATAATCATTTGTGTACTCACGAATCACATGTTAGACGACTTTTTGGTTTGCCCCCACATCTTCGTCTCTCCCAGTTGTTCATGTTCTTAGGTGGAAGTAATTGAATGGTCTGTTATAAAGACCTCAAAATGCTTTAAGATTCATTCAGGAGCTCTTCGATCACAATGAAATTGACATACCTACTCAACAAACCTTTCAACGAGATACTGCTATTGAAGTACATTCTGACGAGAAAACTTTTGACCTCGAGGATTTGACTACAGAGGATCGAGAGCATTATAATTATTTGTTTGGGGAACATTAGTGTGCATAGGTTTATAATTTTAATAATGTTTGTCAAATATCTAATATCTCGTATTAATTAATATTATTTGATAATCAAAATTTATGACATGTAATTCTAAAATCTATAAATATATATATATATATATATATATATATATATATTAAAATTTTGTGTTGAAAGTATAAAAACATGACAAAAATATATATTAATATAATTTTAAACTAAATAGTAAATATTTTTACTATTAAGTTTACATGAATTTTTCATTTAACTATTATTCTATTTTCACTATATTTTATATTTATTTAAAATAATAATTTACAATTATATTATTAGTTGTCATAATTATTTGTTATTACTAGTCAATATTAATTATTATTTTCTACTTTATAATCATTTAATTAATTATTTAATTATTAATCAAATAATTTATTTAATATGTCAAAATTATATTTTTATATATATGCAATGTAAATAATTTTGTAATTGTTTATTTATATAATTTTTAATAACTATTTAAAAAAAAATTCCACATACAAACAATGTAAAAAAGATTTTATTTTTTTTTCTTCCAAATATGCCGTCAAAGTTAAAATGCAGGTAGTTGATTAAAAAATTATATTTATAATAATTCTAACCTTATTTTATACATAAGGGTAAAATGGTAATTTTCTCAAATAATCAATTAAAATTATAACTTTTATATCTCATATCAATCAAATCACTCACAATTTCTCATAAATTTTCCCTTCACTTCCCCTTCATCCAAACAACTTTAATTTCCCCTTCATTTCCCTTCAAACCCCTCCTTTTCCACTCCCCCAAATCACTCTAACCAAACAAGTCCTTAGGGGAGAGACTTAGATGAAATTACAAAAGGAGACATAAGTTTAACCTAAACCGAAAAACTAAGAGTCTTCATGGTCCAAATATGTTAAATTCGTCCTAACCCACCAAAAATGTCTCTAAGGGTGTGGAGAACATGAAAAAACAGGTGTGCTTC